GCGCGGGTCAGAACGGGTTATGCTACACGTGTGTGCGACATTGATTTGCCGAATAAGAGCCCTTCGACGCTAATGACATGGGACGAGTGATAAGGATTGTCGTCGGTGCTGTTAGTGCAGCGTAGTTGTCGCTGTAGTAGTTGCAGAGTTGGAGAGGCAGCCGTTCCTCTTGCTGAAATAGACACTCGGTCTAAATCCGAAATATAGCAATCTTAGTTCAACTTCTTAGCAACAGATAATTGTTCTATCCAAACTTTGTAATAACCGAAATTTGTTCTGTCCGAACTTTGTAATAACTCGGAATTGTTCTATCGAACTTAATAATAACTGGCAATTGTTCTATCGAACTTTGTAATAGCTGGCCATTGTTCTATCGAACTTTGTAATAACTGGCAATTGTTCTATCGAACTTTGTAATAACTGGCAATTGTTCTATCGAACTTTATAATAACTGGCAACTGTTCTACCGAACTTTGTAATAGCTGGCCATTGTTCTATCGAACTTTGTAATAACTCGGAATTGTTCTATCGAACTTAATAATAATTGTCAATTGTTCTATCGAACTTTGTAATAACTGGCCATTGTTCTATCGAACTTTATAATAACTGGCAATTGTTCTACCGAACTTTGTAATGATCGGATATTGTTGATCTGGTTAGGTGAAATGTGGTCTAACCTCACGTCAAACATTATTACACGTCTGTTGCAGCGAGTGAGTGAGTTTAGTTTCACGCCGCACTCAGCAATATTCCAGCTATATGGCGGTGGTCTGTAAATAATCGAGTCTGGACCAGACAACCCGGTGATCAACAACATGAGCATCGATCTTAGCAATTGGGAATCGATGACATGTGTCAACCAAGTCAGCGAGCCTGACCACCCGATCCCGTTAGACGCCTCTTACGACAAGCATGGGTTACTGGAGATCAATTCTAACCCGGATCTTCACGTGTTAGTACTGATAGAAACATTTGGAGCAGCAGAACATACCCTCGTGGCCACAGTTGCCGTTTTACGAGTGAAGTGGGTATTATGTCGCATATGTATATCGTACATCATGATGACATCTACATAGAACACCGGGTGTCGTCGTTATAATATTTTCTGGGTGAGTGAGTGAATATGGTTTTACGCCGCTTTTAACAATATTCCAGCAATCACACACGGAGGACACGAGAAATTGGCTTCACACATTGTACCCAAGTTGAGAATTGAACCCGGGTCTTCAGCCGGACGAGCGGACGCTTTAACCGCTAGGCTTACCCACCGACCTATTTCCACCTGAGGTTCGATTTTTTACTGTTTGATGTAGAACGATTCTTCTACTCCACCAACACACGACCAAGTTCTTGATAAAGTCATATCGCCATACATCGCAGGCGTTTTCCGCTGCTTTAATAAATTCTCCATTTTCCCAGTGTAAAATCCCCATTAGGCATGTCAAATGCAGTGTACCGTAGGAGTGATGCTGAGTTACATGGAAACGATATTGTCAAGGGATTTTATGACTTGTGTAGTTACGTGTGGCCTAATATTTCAACGTTCTCAGTGTCTCGTTTTAATCCCGTTATGAATCTATTGACGAGGCACGTAATCATACTGGGATTTACTGAGCGTATTACAGCTGAACGCGACTCAGTCCAGCTGGAGAGCTTAAGCTCCCGGTGCTGACTCAAAATGCCTCCCGTGACAGATGGACCCCTTCCCGGGTTGACAATTCTTCAACAGATGAAAGCAGAGAGCATGGGCATTTCCCGAGGTTGTAAATGGAAGATCGGCGTAGTTTAGATGTCAGTAACACCCGAGTCACACTGAACGTTGTTCTGGTACAAATAACATCTGATTACACGAATCAGTTATTGTTCCGTTAATGTTCCGATTCATATTTAACTTCTTGCGTTCGAAGTATTACGTTTCTTCTTGCGTTCGAGGTATTACGTTTCTTCTTGCGTTCGAGGTATTACGTTTCTTCTTGCGTTCGAGGTATTACGTTTCTTCTTGCGTTCGAGGTACATGTATTACGTTTCTTCTTGCGTTCGAAGTATTACGTTTCTTCTTGCGGTCGAGGTATTACGTTTCTTCTTGCGTTTGAGGTATTAAGTTTCTTCTTCTTCTTGCGTTCGAGGTATTACGTTTCTTCTTGCGTTCGAGGTATTAAGTTTCTTCTTTCGTTCGAGGTATTACGTTTCTTCTTGCGTTCGAGGTATTACGTTTCTTCTTGCGTTCGAGGTATTACGTATCTTCTTGCGTTCGAGGTATTACGTTTTTAGGTTAGACGGTGCAGTACCGTGCTCGTGGGTTTCTAAAAAGCTGTAAACGTCTACGAACTGAGTCACGTCGGGATCTCCATCCACAAGAAGCGACCCGTGAAGATAGGGTAGAATAGGTCTGCTAAACTCACTCACTCACTCCACAAGAAGCTGCCGTTATGTAACTAAAATACTATTCAAAACAGCGTTAAATGCCTTCATTTATGGAACTTCCATGCGAAGGGCGTGTCAAAACAATATATTGTCAGGAATAATGATGGCACGGCTGGCTGATTGATTGGTTGGCTGGTTGGTTGGTCGTAGTTTTATGCCGCTCTCAGCAATAAACAGCTGAATGGCGGAGGTCTGTACATTATCGAGTCTGGACCAGACAACCAGTGATCAACAGCATGAGCATCGATTTACGCAATTGGGATACGATGACATGTGACAACCAAGTCAGCGAAGCTGACCACCTGATCCTGTTAGTCGCCTCTTACGTCGAAGAATCAACTGATCATCTTTGATACATCAATATTTCAGCAGCAGCAGCAGCAGCAGCAGCAGCAGCATCACACCAGGGGCCAACAACATTATGCCATCATCATCATCATCATCATCATCATCATCATAACTCCAGGGGCCAACAACATTATGCCATCATCATCATCAGCAGCAGCAGCATCCTCATAACACCAGGGCCAACAACATTATGCCATCATCATCATCATAATCATCATCATCATAACACCAGGGGCCAACAACATTATGCCATCATCATCATCAGCAGCAGCATCATCATCATAACACCAGGGGCCAACAACATTATGCCATCATCATCATCATCATCATCATCATCATAACACCAGGGGCCAACAACATTATGCCATCATCATCATCATCATCATCATCATCATAACACCAGGGGCCAACAACATTATGCCATCATCATCATCATCATCATCATCATCATAACACCAGGGGCCAACAACATTATGCCATCATCATCATCATCAGCATCATCATCATAACACCAGGGGCCAACAACATTATGCCATCATCATCATCATAATCATCATCATCATCATAGGGGCCACACCATTATGGGGCCAACAACATTATGCCATCATCATCATCATAATCATCATCATCATAACACCAGGGCCAACAACATTATGCCATCATCATCATCATCATCATCAATAACACCAGGGGCCAACAACATTATGCATCATCATCATCATCATCATCATCATCATTATAACACCAGGGGCCAACAACATTATGCCATCATCATCATCATCATAATAATCATCATCATAACACCAGGGCCAACAACATTATGCCATCATCATTATCATCATCATCATCATCAACATGACACCAGGGGCCAACAACATTATGCCATCATCATCATCATCATCATCATCATCAACATGACACCAGGGGCCAACAACATTATGCCATCATCATCATCATCATCATCAACATGACACCAGGGGCTAACAACATTATGCAATCATCATCATCATCATCATCATCATCAACATGACACCAGGGGCTAACAACATTATGCAATCATCATCATCATCATCGCAGATTTTACAGTGATGATTACAGTTATCGTTGGGATTATTTCTACAATTATTCTCACTATTACTAAGGATGCAGTGCACGTAATAACTAAACCCAGATAGCATGAGCTGAAGTCAACATTGGATGTGTGTCAAGAGGGATGACGTCCAATGACGTCCGGACCCAGATAAGTGAAGGAACACAACATGCACGTATCCGTCTGTGTGTATAAAAATAGCTTGATTACATACTGATGGATAACGCACACGGAGCTAGCCACACGATATCCCACCAGCGAGAACTCCGATTCCAAACCGTCAATAACAGGCATCCCACTCATCACACCGAGATTCTGGGGACCACACGTCGGTAGAAAAACACGAGTCACTATCGTCTCTCCGTGCCATTTTCAAACATAAATAACACAGGTGGCCGAACTGAGAACCGAAACGTACAACGATTCACCTGGACTGAGATACCTTTAAAACAGTTCACCTGGAGTTCGTTAACAAGTTCATTCCATTACCTAACTCATCACTGCGGTTAAGATGCTACACTTACAAAGCTTTCTTTACTGTTAAGTAAACATGACGCTTGGGCGAGCTCCAATAATATCTGGCTTTGTTTAACCTTTCAATGTTGTGAGAATTATTGTCTATCAAACCAGGTGAACCAGAATACCTACGTGCACCTGTTCACCGCTCGAAGGCAAACTGTTTAGCATGTACCTCGTACTTCGAGTCCTGTTAGTATTTTTTATTCATGAAAGCAAATCGATGTCTTCCATTCTACAACATTCAGCAATCTGTATTTAGACCTTAAGTATTTAGTCTATATCTGTGATAGATGCGTATGTACATTTGGCGGTGAAATAGACTTGATCAAACTTAATTTATACTGATAAAGTTGTCTGTGATTCCAACAAACGCTTTGGTATACCAAATCTATCAAATAAACGCGCAAAAACATTATTCTTATGTAAATAAATGAAATCACAATTCTCATCACAAACAGAAGATCTATCGCTGCAGATACAGTAATCCATATGAAATGTACATATGGGAGTCACATGTGTCCTGGGGAAGACCACTCATGTTATTACATATATTTGATTGACGGCAATAAGACGCAATGTACACACACTCGACATTGATCACAAAAAGCACGGCACCCACCTGCTACATCAGCCAGTTGAAATGTACACGCTATGAACAACACGCTTAGCGAGATCCACTGCCTGCCCATAGTGGCAACTGTTGTCGATGTCGGCGAAGCGATCTGGTATCCCCCTTTCGTCACAGCGTTAGATCCCCGTGCCTTTATCAAACCCTCTCCAATTAGCTCAACATCGACTTCTGTCGGCCTCCGTTTTTCCAAGTGAGAGTGTATCACATTTCTAGCCCCGAGCCGCGTGCGATTGTTTTGACGTTGGTGCTAGCACTGCACGTGAATATATAGCTGCCCCGCAATGAAAAAGTCCCGTGTTCAGAGCTTTGATATGAAAGTCGATAATTCGATACAGCCGCTCTGTTTTGGTCAGTATCGATACGTGGGTTGTTCCGGTCAGTGTAAGTCCAGCCTTGATATGATGAGTCCCTGATTATATGTTCACAGTTGCTAGGTTGGTTGAGCGAATCGTCGTCAGCCCAGAGATAGCATACTGAAACGGTCGCGTGTGCACAGCAAACTTTTGTCAAATTTCCATAACTGCCGTCATATAAGTGAACTATATAAGCCGCTACAAAAACGTAATCCCGCAGTCACGGGCGATTTTATTACCGACTAATCCTGGCTCCAGCTCAAATCATATGCTTTTATCGGCCAGAGCGTGAGGCTTGTCATTTGTTGCTACGAAAACATCTCCGTATGAATATAACATCAGTTTTACCGAGTCGGTACAGTTTACATTTATCCCCCAAAACTTCCGAGAATCGTGATAATTAGCTTTTTCCAGATATTTTCGCAAGTCGAAGCAATCTTTTATTCCGTGAGAAAATCCATTCTAAAGTCAGTATTGACTAAACCCAGACACCATCAGCAAAAACACCCTATTACAGTTGAAGACCGAACCGACATGCCTATTCCGGCGTTTGGGAGAGAGTATCAAACAATTCTCTGGCATCAAATTGGCACATCACTGTGACGCGAAGGAAGTTCAAAATGTTTACAATGCCGGCAACTGTTCCATCACATGTCCGTTATGTGAAATATTCGATACGTTTTCCATATTCCCAAGTAAGATTAATTTTCCCAAGTCAATCATGCCGCGTCCCCATTGTTCTCATCCCGGCAAGACAACTCTCGTCAGGAGTAACGAGATCTCGGGCGCATCTGACCGTCATAACGAATGTCTGATATCCCAATCTTCTATGAATGATTAATGCAGTGAAGATCAAATCTTGAAAATCTGAATTTTACACGATGCCACTAAACTAAACTGGTGTTCGATCCGAGCAGTCATGGCAGTTGATCTTGCTCCATCGTCAGGAGTAATTAGGACGACGTCTTTGACAGATATGCCCCTTTCACGTTTCAATTCCTTGAGAAATTCAACAAAGCTTACCGAAGCATAAAATTCCGATTTCGATTATTCGTTCACTGAGCTCCTTTTACCGTTAGATCGCTTACAGAGATGTAATCCTTTCCGATACACCGATGCGAATCTTGAATGACTCCATGCCTGAAAAGAAAATTTAGTAACACGTGTCAAATCAATATCAGCATTCTACCTCCCGTGTAAGACGAAGCCTTCGCTGACATTTTCATATTTGAGCATTTTATCAGCGTGGCCAACATGAATCACGATGTTGCACATCACAGAAAAAATATACTCAGTATATAGTTGATGTACAGACATGATCGCTTGAAGATCGTGTCCTGCGGGAATTCATTCCAATATCAATATGTATTTTATGATACTGTTATGAGAACATTTCCTTAGATTAAGGTCATGTTTAACATAAACCTAGATATGTCCTCAAAGTACTCTCGTAAATTCTCATGCACGTGTTCTGTCTGGTCATGCATGCGCACTAAGATTTTGAGATATTCTTGTCTCAGATATTACCGTATCACCGGCTGATTAGCGTCACTATGTTGACTTACACGACTGAGCTGATAATCACCCCTTAATCCCTCCCTGGTTTCATCGATGGTGCTTAAAATCCGGACTTTAAACATATATTGGTATGAATCGTTCAGAGTGGCGAAAATCAACGCGTTGTGTCCATACGTGGCATTCTGTGCTGAATAAAATGAGATGTCCCCGAATTATTTTTTCTAACATTTGTGGAGCTGTTTTTGTTGTTCACACCCTAAATCTTTACATAGCCTCCACAAATACGTATTATTTAGGAGCAGGGGTAGCCTAGTGGTTAAAGCGTTCGCTCGTCAAAGCTGAAGTCCCGGGTTCGATCCCCACATGGGTACAATGTGTGAAGCCCATTTCTGGTGTCCCCCGCAGTGATTTTGCTGGAATATTGCTAAAAGCGGCGTAAAACTATACTCACTCACTCTCTCCTTTATTATTTAATATTCGTATTTATTTTGAATCATGATCAATGGAATAACGCAGTGGTCAAGACGGACTTGGTGAGTTCTTAGGTGTTATGTGTGTTCTAACTGGTTCTGAGCTTGAACGTGGATTACAACGCGTTGAAAAAATGCGTGTATCCTTTTCAATTGACTGAGGAATGCTTTCGCTCAGGGCTATCAATAATGTATTCGTCATTCGCTTGGAGAAATGAAGCCTTATTTCTTCGATTTTGTTTTAAGGTAACTTCTAAGGAAATGGGACAAGCGATGAAGTCAAATTAAAGTTCTTCACTCTTAATTTCACAGTCTTCGGAGAAGCCTACGGGGAAATCTATTTTCTTTGTAGTTTGACTGACTGATTAAATATTTAATTTGACGGAATGAGGGTTGTTGTAAACAGTCATTAAACTGATGTTGAAATATCAACGTGTGGACCTTTTTTCTCCACCGACAGAGTTAATATTGGAATTGATCAAAATGAAATAAAGATTGTCATAAGACAATAAATCGGACGATAAAAACTCATGCTGTGAAAGAGAAATAATCACGCAAAGAAATTGTTATTGACACTAAAACTTTTTTTATATATACAAACTGTAACATGCATTGTTAAATATTCCGTCAAGTCGAGCGTGACCTGCCTGTTTGATGTCTGGTGAGATTAAGAAATGGTTGTTTTATGGGCAATCGTTTATGTTTCAGAACGTTTCCCATAAATTAATTAAATAATTTTTCAGCAGAATAAAAAAGAACAATTTTTTACGGGATTGACTGCTATAAATGAATTGTGTTACAGAGGCACAGAAGGCGATATAAACTCAAGAAGAATTTTTTTAGTTCGTTTAATTTAGTTTCTGTATCGGTTTAAGTACATTCCAGCAGCTGTATGACGGGGGACATCAATATCTGAGAATTAAACCCAGTTTTCCGACGAACGAACACCTGCACTAAGTTTACACAAGTCAAGGACATCAAGTTTGGATACGACTGCGGGCTACACTTAACGTACCTCGTTATAAAGAATCAGTAAGTGAGAAAGTATTATTTTACTCTATGTTTAGCACTATATCAGCAACATCACGACAGGGAACACCAAGGGCTTCACAGTTTGGACACAGAATAGAACCGGGGTCTTCAGCGTGTCGAACTAACGTTTCAACCACCTGGCTACCCCGCCAACCCCACATCAGAAATGTTAATGATTGAGTTTAGGTTTACGCCGCTTTTAGCAATATCCCAGCAATGTCACGGCGAGGGACTCCAGACATGGGCTTCACACATTGTGCCCATGTGGGGAATCGAACCCGGGCCTTTGGCGAGACGAGCGAACGCTTTAACCACTAGGCTACCCCACTAAGCCAATATCTTGTGTCCCCGCCGTGGTATTGCTGGAATATTGCTAAGATCGGCGTAAAAACCATTCTGTGTTGTGAATGGATCGGGGGTATTTATCTTTGTACAGCGGATTTATTACACCCTGCATAACCGAGGATGCTCCCTTAGGATAATCGAGTGACTGAGTTATATTTTAACACCGCTTTGAGCAATACATGTATTCCAGTTTTATCACGGCGTGTCCTCTTGATCTGGGAGGTAAAGTAGAACGTAATACAGGTCTTCGATATTGACCACTTTGATAACCTGTGAGTACTTGCTGACAAATCTAGAAACATATTGGGAACGAACTGGGATTCGAACCCAAGAAGAAGGATTGTATCAAGCCCAAGTTTGCAACTCTGGACAAAGTATTGTGGAGCCTTATATCTCTCGTTTATTGTCAATAAAAATCTCATATTGCCCGAATTAATTGCTTAAGTAAGCAACTTTGTAATCCTTTGGGGGCGGTGGGGTAGCCTAGTGGTTAAAGCGTTGGCTCGTCACGCCGAAGACCCGGGTTAAGCCCATTTCTGGTGTCCCCCGAATGATATTGCTGGAATATTGCTAAAAGCGGCGTAAAACTAAACTCAGTCAGTCAGTCAGTTGTAATCCTTTAATCCGAATCTACCCAATTAAGTTAACCTTAGAATTTTTTGCAAAGTGAAAGAATACACTCTCACAACAATATATAAAAAACACCTGTACTTTCAAAATGTGTTAATTGTACGTGTAAATGTATAAAATGTGAGATCGATTATTACCTTCTCTAACCTTCCTGTGACTACCCGTGAAGGTCCGGGTTAGAATGAACCTTCAGTAACCCATACTTGTCGTAAGAGGCGACCAACGGGATCGGGTGGTCAGGCTCGTTGACGTGGTTGACACATGTCATCGGTTCCCATTTGCGCAGATCGATGCTCATGCTGTTGATCACTTGATTGTCTGGTCCAGACTCGATTATTTCCAGACCGCCGCCATATAGCTGGACTATTGCCGAGTGCGGCTTAAAACTAAACTCACTCACTCACTCTTCTTGTGACTTTGGGGCCGAAACTATTTTCTGTAATATCATTTCCTACACTCCTGACAGCGCAATGCCATGCTCTCCAATTTCACCAATGTGACAAAAGAGCTGCATCACGTATCATAACGTTCATGATTGGATGTCTGCTAATTACCTGCAACTTAACAAGGACAAAACAGAATTCATTATGTTTGGTACTCAACAACAGCTCGCCAAGATTCCAGTTACCATCAACCTATCTGTGGACAAGGTCTGTGTTGCTCCAGCTACAACTGTCAAGAACCTGGGCGTTGTCATGGATAGAACCATGTCAGGTAAACATCAGGCACTGAACACAGCCAAAGCAGCAAACTTCCATATCGCTAACATCGGCAAACTCCGAAAGTACCTTGATAACGAAACTAGCAAAATTCTGATTCAGTCTCAAGTAACAAGTAGACTCGATTACTGTAACTCTCTAGTGTTTGGATCTGGCGTAATCTCTCACTTACAGCAAAAGAGTTCAGAACAAGGCTGCTCGTGTTGTCACCCGCACCAGAAAGGATTGTCACATCACGCCAATTCTCAGAGATTTACACTGGTTGCCCATTAGACATCGGGTCCGTTTCAAGTTGCTCGTCTTGACGTACAATGCTCTCTATGTTGAATCATCGCCTACTTATTTAAAGGACCTGCTATCGGTCTACCACCCATCTAGAACCTTACGTTCTGCCCAGAAGGAGAATCTGGTTGTTCCATCAACATCAACAAAGGCTGGAGATCGTGCCTTCTCAGTTGCAGCTCCCGCCCTGTGGAACGCGGTTCCCCTTGGCATTGTGAGCTCCCAACTTTTAAGAGAAAACTCAAAACATTTCTTTTCTCCTGTGGAACTGTAACGTGTTAAGCACCATTGAGCAGCTGCTTGAAATACATCATGAACACTGATCCCAGCCTCTCCCAACTTTTAAGAGAAAACTCAAAACATTTCGTGTTTCTCATCTTGTCTCTGATTGAACGCAGTGTACAAACCTAAATTACAATGAGTAAGTGAGTAGCAATAACTTGTCGATTTCAGTCACATGTTGCCGTCAGCATGACGTCAAACCCTTGTGCTGAAACTGCTTTAGGGGGCCATCTCAAACTCATGTTGGACCCTTTCAAGCTAATCATTGTAATCACAGTTACCACCGATATCTATGATATGCTGTAGGAGTGAGGTTTAGTTTAACGCCGCTTTCAGCAATATTCCAGCAATATCACGGCAAGGGACACCAGAAATGGGCTTCACGCATTGTACCCGTTTGGAATCGAACCTGGGTCTTCGGCGTGACGAACGAACGCTTTAACCACTAGGCTAGCCCACCGCCCCGACACATTGGAAAGAGCCTTGGATTTTTCCAAATGTCAGCCAAAGATAGACCCAGCTGAGCTTGT